ACTTCGTGGGAGAATTCACGAGGCAAATCACAATGTTGGATTCCTGAAGATGCAAATCGGCACGTACACAATTATTCCTGCTTATCTCTCCATAAAACATCGATTGAGGCCATATTTTGCGTCCTACATTTCGCTCTCCTCGTCAGAATCCTAACCAGGTAGAGTTCCGTAATCTCTTGAAGCAAACACATGACATTCAGCCAGTTTCGACACAGAGCGTACAACATCTTAAGTCAACGTTAGTCAGTCAATTGCTCTTATCAATCTATACCTGAATAGTCGTCAGAAATATCGGGGCGGCTTGCTGTGCTGACGAAGTGACACACTCATTGGGAGGTTAAAATAACTGCGTCGACAGAGGAATGACTTTCTGATAAATAGGCTAGATAAGGCAACTGGCGTTGTTTTGATGGACAGGGTAGACGACTATATTAGCAAAATACAGTCAATTCTCTCGGATGAGGAATAGCAAGAGAAAAGATAGTGAAGGAGAAGGACCGTCCTATTAGCTTAACCTGCATTCTCTCCAAGGTAATGGAACGACTTATTAAAGGGCATTGACTGTGCAGAGGGACTTGTTGTGACCTGATCAGAACGGGTTTCGTCGTGGTCACTCCTGTCTGACCAGCAGTCTTTACTCTCAGGAAAAGTGGACAAGAGACATAGACCAGGTCTGCCCAGTGGACGTTATCTTTTTTGACTTTAAGAAGGCGTTTGGTAGCGTTCCTCATGGACGGCTCCTACAGAAGATTTGGAAATGTGGAATACAGGGCTACATTTTTAAGTGGATTAAAAGTTTCCTGTCATGCAGGCTCCAAAACGTGATCGTTGGTACCACTGCATCCGAATGGGTGTCCGTAAAATGCGGCGTTACGAAGGGCTCAGTCTTCCGTCCTCTTCCTTATCTATATAAATGACTGTCCTGCAGACCTTGAATGCGACGGCATCATGTTTGCAGATGATATAACGATCAGGAACACAATCAACTGTGTTGACGAAGCGCAGAAGCTACAGGAAGATGTTAATAAGGTGGCTACGTGGTTCAGCAAGTGGCTTCTAGCGTTTAACGTGTCCAAATGTGCAGTCTTTCGAACAGAATCTGGACGGAATCGCTTCCCAAAGCATCAGTACACCATAGATGGGGTTCCACTAAAAGAGGTGGACACGCACAATCACCAAGGTGCCTCTACATGCTCAAACTTACTGCCCTCTCATCACTGCAAACGAGTCGTCCAGAAGGCAACAAACATCATGCACTGGATTAGACGTGCCTTCAAAATCTTTCCTCCAGAACCCTTCTCACAGATATTCGGCACCTTCGTCAGACTGCACTTGGAATACTGACTGCCATCATGGATGCCCTGCATGAAGAAAGACAGTGATGCCATAGAGCAGGTGCAACGACGGGCCACGAAACTGGTGGAAGGTCTCAGGACTCTGTCCTACCCAGAAAGACTGATCCAGTTAAATTTGTTCCCCTATCCTATAGACGAATGAGGTGTGACCTGTTATGGGCATTCTGCATTATACACGGGCATGAATGTTCGCTCAAAACTGAAGACTTCTTTGCATCCACGACCACGATTCAACTGCGCAGTCACCCGTACACAGTCAAGCGGGAGCGTATACGAATAGACCATCGGAAGTTTTCTTTCAGTCAGCGTGTTGTTCGACCGTAGAACTCAGTACCATGTGATGTAGTGACATCTGATACAATGGCTGTATTCAAAATGCAGCTGGATCGTTTGATCTTTGATAAACGACGACTCTCACTACAGGACTATCTGCGGCCAGCCATTAATTTCAGGTCTTGATTTCATCCCTAAATCATAGACCTGTATCACAGACCGTTCCAGCAGCTAACACCCAGCAGTGCCATCCTACAATCCGGAAAGGGCAAGGACAAACTACCAGATCAGACGACTGCTATGTGTATTTAATACTCCTTCAACTGTGGGGTAGAATATGTTGGTGGCAGGAGCCGGCGTGTATCCAAAAGAATGAAAGAACAGCTGCCAGCATGGTTAGGAAAGGGTCAAAACAGCTCGATGCTCGCGCGCTCACGTGGTATACACAGAGCAGCGCGTAGACGCAGACCAGAGAGTCCTTCAGAGTAATTTACAACGTACCATCAAACTATGCAAAAACTGCTTGGCCAGCGATTATTGGCTACGGCAGAGGCGGCTGCAATCAGGCTACGCGGGGCGGACCGGTACTATGCGAATGAAGAATTTCCTACAGGTTGCGTCCACAGTTGGCTGGGTCAATGACACTAAGCCAGCCACCCGCCCACCCGCCCGCATCATGTAATTACCTTCGCCGCCGCGGGGGTCCAACTTCTCCCTCACGCTGACTGCAATTTTGGTCTTTCACTCTCCCCCCCCCTCCCACCCCCTCCCCTCTCCAAACCCCAGGGTACAGATTAATTATCCACGTGCCCGTACCTCCTTTTCATTCATTACTTCTTCAATAGTAGCCACATAGGCCTGAAGAGAATTATTTATCGAAAGCAGACGTATGCGCGCCAAATTGCCTTTTGAATTGTACAAAGGCAATTTTCGCAACTCTAAAACAGTCAATAGATGCCGCGGTGATGTTGAAGGCACTCAGTGGGGGTACCTACGTTTCAGCAGCACCAAGATTGTGAAGGCGAAATTACGAGCCAGGTATATAAGGGGTTGCCTCCTCGAGGGAAATTAGTACCCGTACGCCGCCATACTCGATCAACTTGGCGAAGACGTGCGTCTTGAATTCGATAATTTTGTATGTGCAATCCATTTCGGACAAACGTGGAGAGGCCATCAATAGGGCTTCCCTTCTACGTCGTGGGAGTATTCACGAGGGCGAAGCACAATGTAAGATTCCTGAAGATGCTTGTCGGTACGTACAAGATTATTCGTGCATATCTCTCGATAAATCATCCATTGAAGGTTTATGATTGTGTCCTAAGTTTTGCTGTCTGTGTCAGAAACCCCACCAGTTAGAGTTTGAAACACAATTCGAGAACCCAACCTCTCGAACCAAACGGATGCACTTCAGCCAATTTCGACGGAGAGAGAGAGCGTACAACATCTTAAGTCGACGTTAGCCAGTCAATTGCTCTTATAAATCAATACCTGAATAGTCGTCAGAAATATCGGCGCTTGATGTGCTGAAGAAGGGACACAAATTGAGAGGTTAAAATAACTGCGGCGGCAGAAGAAAGTCGTTCTGACAACTAGGCCAGACAAGGCAACAGGCGTTGTTTTGATGGACAGGGTAGACGACTATATTGGGTAAATACAGTCAATTCTGTCGGATGAGTAATATTGCAGAAAATGAGAGAGAGAAGGAGAAGGACCGAAGAGATGAGATTGAAGCAAAATTGACTGACTGACTGATTGAAAAGACTTCATCTGGACGGTATTTGCATTAGAAAACAACCCGTTGAGCGCCTCCGACCCCACGGTACGCATATATCTCGATTATATGGTTTGACAACAATGGCGCACAAAGTTGGCGCACCGGGTTGTCCAATCCTCGATGTGAGAAACTCGCCGCACCATGCAATAGCGAAATGGCTGGCGGTGATTCTTAAGCCTCTGCAGTATCATCTAGCGCCACATAGCTATGGAGATACTGTTGAAATCATTAAAGGCCTGAAAGAATTCGATCTGTACGAAATGGTCATTTTTTTCGATAGATGCCGTCTCATCCCTATTTACGAACGTACCGGTCACGGAAATGGTCAGCTACAAAACTTTTTGATTGCAATGCTGCAGACAAACAACAGGATATAGTTTGAATGCCGCCGGTGAATGCCCTCAAGCAACTGTTACTGAGGAGCACACACTCAGAAAGTGCACTTGATATTCGGCGACAACGATCTACCTGTGCGGTGGGCAGAATATATTGATGGCAGGAGCCGGCCGGCGTTTATCCAAAAGAACATCTCCCAACAGGCCAGGTTTGGAGAGGGTCAAATAAAAAGCATAAAGAGCTAGATCCTCGCGCGCTCACGTGGTAGACGCCGCAGACCACCGTGTACGTAGACCAGAGGGTCCTTCAGAGTAATTTTCAAGGTGCCAGCCATCAAACTATGCAAAAACTGCTTGGGCAGCGCTTCTTGGCTACGGCAGAGGCGGCTGCAATCAGGCTACGCGGAGCGGACCGGTGCTATGCGCCCAGAAGAATTTCCTACAGGTTGCGCCCCCCACAGTTGGCATGGGTCAAAGCCACTAAGCCAGCCAACCACCCACCCACTCGGCGACCCGCCAGCCCGCCCGCCCGCCCGCCCCCATGTAATAACCTTCGCCGCCGCCGCCGCCGTGACCCACCTTCTCGCTGACTCTGACTGCAATTGCCCTCCATCACTCTCCCCCTCCCCTCCCCTCCCCTGCCCCCTCCAATCCCCACGTACAGCTTAATTATCCACGTGCCCCTATCGCATTTTCATTCATCACATCTTCAATAGTAGCCATATTTATCCAGGGCAGACCTATGCTCGCCAAATTGCCTTTTGAATCGTACAATGGCAAATTTGCAACTATTAAACAGTCCAAATATGCCGCGGTGTTGTTGAAGGCACTCAATGCGGGTACCTAGGGTTCAGCAGCAGCAGCACCACCAAGCTTGTGCAGGCGAAAGTACAAGTCAGGTTTATTAAGGGATGCCTCCTCCTGGAGGGAATGATGAGTACCCCATCTCTTACTGGAGATGAATGCGACGGAGTGAGTCGTAGGGTTATGACCACCTCCTGTGACAAGCCTGTGAGAAGTTAGGCCGAAAATGAAGTAGAGAGCAGGCGTGTTGTAAAGCAGGTGGAAGAGCTGGGTCGTCAGGTGTGTCGACGGGCAGCCGCCATACTCGATCAACTTGGCCAAGACGCGCGACTTCGTCGAGAACACTCCCACGACGAAGAAGGGAATCCCTCTTAAAGGCCTATACACGTTTGTCCGAAATGGATTGCACATACATAATGATCGATTTCCTGTCGCGCGTCTTCGCCAGGTTGATCGAGAATGGCTACCACCACCACCACCACCACCACCACCACCACCACCACCACCACCACCACCACCATCACCACCACCAACACCACCAGGACAACCACCACCACCACAACCACCTTTACAGCACGTGTGCTCTCTACTTCTTTTTCGGCGTATATTCTCCTCAAGGTATCACAGGATGTGATAACCCTACTACTCCGTCGCTTTCATCTCCAGTAGGAGTTCGGTACTCATTGACCTCGAGGAGGAGGAGACATCCCTTAATAATCATGGCTCGTAATTTCGCACGTAGGTGATAAAGCTGTAAGTCGGGTTTGACGCGGGGAGTGGAGGGGGAGAGAGAAAGACCATATTTGCTGTCAGCGTGAGGGAGAAGGTGGGTGCCGGCGACATCGAAGGTAATTAAATGGTCAACCTTCGTCCTTTTTGAGGCCTCCACGTATTCGCAGTTCTGGTTTCTGCACAGGTGTCTCGACAATAATGTGCCGCCCAAATGTGTTCCACTCATGCCTCCGGTTAACACAGATTTTTCGAGTCGGGCATTATTTCAAAATGGCAGATGGATGATCCGACGGCTCCTCCAAGATGGCCACGCGAGACTTCACAAGTACCGTCAAAGGATTGACCAAGTAAAGACCAGATGTTGTGTGTTCATGGGCGAGATCGGTAGAAATCTGCTCCTCCAGAGGAGAGCTGAAGAAGCCCGCGAACAAAGAATGATGCGCGACGAAGCACTGGAGAACCAATTCCGAAAGCTGCCCAATCTAACGTCGCCCAGAAACGACAAACTGGTGCACAACCTGTCGTCAAAGGAGCTGAAAAAAAATCAGATGCAGGTTTTAAGGCACGAAGCTTTATTCAACACGACTGCCGCCAAACCTGTTAACATGAATGCAGACGGAAGCAACGGAGGAGACCAAGCGCCTCATCCGATACCATGTGTCGTCTCTCCTAATGGCCCACAGGCCGCGGGAAGTGCTTTCAAATGTCGAACGTGATGCGCTTAGAGAACTCAAGGCCGACAAAGACTTGGTCATCGTGCAAGCGGACAAGGGGGCGCTCCACGGTTGTGCTGGACAGAACAGACTACCTTCAAAAAGCCGAATTTTTACTGGAGGACCGACAGTTCTATGTTTCATGTGCAACGAACCCTGTAGAAGCGCTGACACGCTAAATGAATGCTAGGTTATTGGCCTTGGGGAACTCAGGTGCAATAACACCGACCGACAGACGCATGGCGAGACCCCAAGATAGGGCTTTGGCCCGATTCTATGGCCTCCCTAAGGTGCACAAAGACGGCGCTCCTCTCCGACCCATCCAGTCGCTCAAAGTTACTCCAACGTACGGACAGTCTAAGTGGCTATTCCGGCGTCTCAAGTTCCTGACCGCTGAGTCAGACACCACGGTCTCTTCGTCAGCACAATTCCTGGAGCATCTCAAAGGGGTAAGCCTCCATCCAAATGAGGTCATGGTATCTTTTGATGTTACATCCATTTTTACTTCTATTCCCCAGGACCTGGCGATCGAGACAATCGAGCTGCTTCTACAAAGCAAATACGATGAAACGAATAATAGTCTTGGATTAGACCAAGTCCTTCAGCTCCTGAAGTTCTGTCTCAGGACGTACTTCACTATCGACGGGACAATCTACGAAGAGGTGAAGGGCACACCACTGGGTTCGCCGATTTCGGGGTGCATCGCCGAGGCGGTCCTGCAACGGTTAGATTCGCTGGTCTTCCAACATCACAAACCGAAGTTCTGGGCGCGTTATGTGGATGATACCTTCGTCGTTATCGACCGGGATCAACAGATGACAATGAAGGAACGCCTGAATGCGGTCGTCCCGGGCCTACATTTTACGATGGAGGAGGGAGAGAACAACCAGCTGGCCTTACTGGATGTCCACGTATGCTGCAAGGATTGTGGCGGGCTAAAGACCAACGTGTTAACGAAAGCGATAAATACGATGCAAGTACTGAGCTTCAACAGTAACCACCCAAACAGTCACAAACGCAGTTGTGTAAGGACGCTCTATCGGCGTGTCGAAACGCAGTGCAGTGAACCGGAAGACAAGATTGCCGAACTACAATACCTCCGACAGTTCTTCAACGCCAATGGCTACCCGCGCAACTTTGTCAACCGGTGCATAGGCAAAAGGGACGAAAGGCCTAACCGCACGGACAGCAAAGTTTGGCGAGCGCTTCCATATGTCAAGAAGGTTTCGGACGCTGTTGGCCGCCTTCTCGCACCACTTGGGGTTGGAGTTGCACACAGACGGGAGGCAACCATCAGGCGTAACTTAATGAAACCGAAAGACCCACTGCCACGGCAAGAAACGTCTGGAGTCGTCTATCGGATCTGGCGAAGTTGCGGACAGAGCAACTACGTTGGAGAAACCGGAAGACAATTCCAAACGCGAATGGCCGCACACGCGGCAGCGGTGCGGAGAAATGACGCCAGCTCTCAAGTTGCGGCTCATTCGACGGCCTCCGGCCACACATTCAAATTTGACGGGGCCGAGATTCTCGCAGGAGGTGACAACCGCGTGTGCCGGAAGCTGCTTGAGTCACGGTTGACTGGTCCCCAGTCTATTAACAAGTGCAATGATCTTCCCATTCAATTCACCGTGCTGAGACTTCGTATAGGCGGAGTATTTGGCCACGCGGGAAGCGCACAGGTGAGCACTCCTCCCAATACCCGGCTCAGCGAGCAGATGGTCGAGCCATCATCACACCAGCATGAAATTGCCGCAATTAACGACGCGAATGCCGGCCATTACGCCACGTGCAACGATTACTGGTGAAGGGGGGGGGATACGTGAATATTCATAGGTATGCGGTAGCATGGCTACTGCATCCTATAAATACTGCAGCCGCATATGCATGAACCACCCTTATCTGCTTTTGTCTCTAATGATGGATTCGATCAGGAATCCGAAACGTCAGGCTAATAAGGCTCTTGTCCCGCCGATCGTGTCTTCTTCTACGTGACATATCTCATGAAATCTGATAACGGCACCTAGTGCAAGAATTTCTGGACGGCTTTCACTTTGCGCATTTTGTTCGCACATCCAAATCCTTCAATGAAATGTCCTTATCTTGTGCAGGAATTTTGTTAGCAAAATTATATCAAGTAAATTATCAGTACCTTTTAGCGAAAATGAACGACGAAATATATGTATGCAATTTACTGCCCTCATATATGTCCTAGATTCCGGTTACGCATCTGAGCGACTTTTTTGTTGAAAAGGTAGGGATTTACCCGCGAGAGTTTTAATAAACAGATCTAGCTGAACTTCAAAATTCATTTTACGCCTGATGTTAACCCTCTTATTCAACCTGCTAACACAAAGATTATTTAAACTACGCAAGAGGTTTCATCAAATCCTAAATGTCCGATTAGCAGATCTGGGCGATGTGATGCCCCAAAGTACACTAATAGCGCAGATAGAGATCCCTACGTTTAAATGGGCTGAAATTGTTTGGCGTTTGAAAAATTCTACCTCATGACACGTAAACGACCACCACCATTTCCAGTTTTGAACATCTGGAACACTACTTCTTGCGTAGTTTGGTCTCTGTGCATAACTTATTCAGAACTAGAACGAGCAAAACATAAACAATTTCAGCAAAATATCAGTATTAATATCAGCGTTCTACCGTGCATTCATAATCGAAGAACGCAGTCTTAAAGCGAGCAAGCACAGTGAAAATGGCCTCAATTTGTAAAGGAATGCATGTTCTTACGTTAACGGAAAAAAATTTAGTACTGTTTAGGAACGTGAAAGAAACTGCCGAAATTGTCGAATGTTTACTTGGCCTCACCGTGCAAAAATGCAGAGTACACAGAAATCCGTCAACGGAGAGCAGTGATAAGGTGCTTCCGAAACAGGCTACTTCATAAGGAAAGTCTTCTTATTGATCGCAGGCATATTCGTTGCTGACTTTCGTTGTGGACAGCTATTTTCCTCAAAAAAATAAGGTTGATGTTTGATTGAGTCTACGCATGTGACCCAAACAACCATCTTGTTGAAAAGAAGCGCCTGAAAACAGACTAATGAGGAAATGCCTTCAAATTAAATTTCTTAACAGACAGGTAATTCAGAGTCTGTCTTTATGGACGATCGGATGAAATCACAAGAAATCATGAACTATTCAGCACCGATTCCAGACCGATCTAATACTCAATGTAATCCAAAACGGTCAAAAAGTGTAAAAAAGTTATACGGAAGAAAACCTCTCTCTATAAACACAAAATTGTATGTTTACGATCACGCCAGTGAGAACTATCCACATTAATTGAAATCGGCTGGCCATATCGCAAATCAACCAATGAAATCTATTGATATTACGACGTCCTCATCAGTGAAAATAAGCAAAATCCCGTTTCCCATGATGAAAACCATAAAATAAAATACATAAGAGTCAATGATTAAACGAAACCCTGGAAAAATAATTCGGAATATACACTCAAAGTGTAGGCAGATGACAAACCGCCATATATGAAATCACGAAAATGATTAAAAGATATTTAGATGTAAACGTAACGGAAACATGAATAATAGGCGTTATAAAATTTCAAAAGGCAATCTGGCGAGCATAGGTCTGATTTTGATAAATAACTCTCTTCAGGCCTAGATGGCTACTTTTGAAGAAGTAATGAAGGAAAGGGAGATACGATCAGGTAGATAATTAAGCTGTACCTGGGGTTTGGAGAGGGCAGGGTAGGGGAGAGGAGGGGGAGAGGGAAAGACCGGAATTGCAGTCAGCGTCAGGGAGAAGGATGGTCCCGGCGGTATAGGTATTTACATGATGCGGGCGGGCGGACGGGTGGCTGGCTTAGTGCCTTTGACCCATGTCAACTGTGGGCGCAACGTGTGGGAAATTCTTAGTGCGCTTAGTGACAGGTCCACGCGTAGCCTGATTGCAAACGAATCTGCCGTAGCCAAAAAGCGCTGCTCAAGCAGTATTTGGATAATTTGATGCCACCTTGTACCGAGGGGTCCGAGGCGCTCTACGTGGTGTTCGCTTATGCAACCACCATCTGCCTGAAGTCTTTTAAAGCCGTCAGTCAGTCAGCTGTGCTTCAATCTCATCTCACCTCTCCTCATGAATACTCTGACGACGTAGAAGGGAAGATCTCTTCACTTATACACGATTGACAGAAATTGATTGCTCATATTTAATTATCGATTTCATGTCGCTCGTCTTCGCCAAGTTGATCGAGCATCGCTGCCCGTTGACGTCCAGCCAGTGACACCCCAGCTCTACAACAAGCACCACCACCAACACCAACACCACCACCACCACCACCACCAACATCACCACCACCACATTTACAACACGCGTGCTCTCTAGTTCATTTTCGGCGTATCTTCTCCTCTAGGTATCACAGGATATGATAACCCTACGACTCCGTCGCATTCATCTGCAGTAGGAGTTCGGATACTAATTTCCCTCGAGGAGACATCCCTTAATAAACCTGACTCATTCTTTCGCCTCCACAAGCTTGGTGCTGAACCGTAGGTACCCATTGTGGGCATTCAACAACATCGCGGGATATTTGGATTGTTTTAGAGTTGCGACAATAGCCATTGTACAATTCAAAAGGCAATTTGGCGAGTATACGTCTGGATTCGATAAATAATTCTCTTCAGGCCTATATGGCTACTATTGAAGAAGTAATGGATGAAAAGATACGGGCACGGGAATAATTAAGCTGTACCTGGGGTTTGGAGAGGGGAGGGGAGGGAATGGGGAGAGTGAAAGACCAGAATTGGACTCAGCTTGAGTGAGGAGGTGGGTCCCGGTGGGCAAGCGGGTGACTGGCATAGTGGCCTTGACCCATGCCAACTGTGGGAGCTGTAGGATATTCTTTTAGTCGCATAAGATTTCTCCGCATTGCCTAATTTCAGTCGCTGTGACGTCCCGTTGTTATTTTATATGTTTGTCTTTTATTTTTTTGGTATTTTTCGTAACCCTCCAACTAAAACGAAATCTAGTCCGATGTCTGGCACAAAGAGCAAGAAAAATTTGCTCAACAGATAGCATTGAGGAGGAGCTCAGAAAAATCGAGAACTTCCTTCGAAAAAACGGGTATCCTGACAGGTTCATTGCAAAGAACATTGCCGAAAGACCGGTTAAACCCGCCACACCGACCGCTGAAAAGAAAACTTTGTTCCTCAAAGTCCCTTTCAAAGGGGACGCGACGAGTGAACTCCTAAGGAGACGCCTTGATCAAGCTGTCTCGCGAACCTTCCCAGCAGCAAGGGTTCAAATATCATTCTCTACTAACCCTATTTTACGCGGAGACGGTAAGGATAAGTTGCCACCGCAGACCACCTCAACGTGCATATATTCCTTCACTTGCTCCTGTGGAGCCGGTTATATTGGTCGCACGAGTCGGCGCTTATCCAAAAGAATACGCGAACACCTCCCGGCATGGCTAGGAAAAGGCGAAATGAGGAGTATAAGCAGCGCCATTCTCGCGCATGTTGTCGATTCCGGACATCGTGTGGACCCCAACGAAGCTTTTCGTGTGGTTTATAAAGTCCCATCGAACTACCCTAAGCTACTAGGCCAGCGCCTGTTAGCGACAGCGGAAGCGGCCGCCATTAGGTTACGAAAGCCAACCTTATGCGCACATAAGAAGCACGTTCAGGCTCCGCGCCTACAGTGTTAGAAGGCTAACTAACGGTGCAACTTCCCCCGCGCACTTGCGCTCTCACCCCGCCCCTGACAATGACTACTCTTACCCCCAACCCCTCCCACACAGTCCCACACCACGCCATTGTTTAAGGAGTACTTTTATCAAATTCTCTTATGGCTTGCATGCTTTACTTCTACCCCGTTCCTATATAACGGTACTGGCCCGACGAGTATTTATCGAAAGCTACGTCTGCTCGCCACCTCGTCTTCTGATTACTGCTATGGGAATTTTCGCAACTCTACTAACTATTTGTTAGTAACCAGACTTTACTCATTCCTCCACGTCTTTGTCCCCGTATCTCCCTTTGTCGGTCCTCGACATTCTCTGAACATCTTTCTTTGTCCATTGTCTATTGCTCTATTCTGCCGCACGACGATAAACCGACCAACACACTTTGGCGTCATTCGCTGTTTGCTTGTCTTATCACCTCGTATTCACGTCCACTTTTCAATTTATTGTCCGCCTTTTCAACTCTATTATGCTCCGCTAACCTTTCTGTTTAGCGCTTTAGATCCACAAAGCATAACCGAGTTATCCTGACTGTCTTCTGACATCGCTTTGACCTCGGGTGGGACTATTCCGCTGAATAAACCTGCACTGAATTTAAAAAATCTAAATAAGACCAGCAAAGCTATTCGAGTCCTGTTCGAGCAAATCGCAAATAACAGCCCTCCGGATCTGTCGCTGCACTCACAGCCTGCTTCAGTAATCACCTTAGATCAAAGACATTTGAAGCGACAGCGACTTGAAATAGAGCTCAGCAAACTGCGTCTACTAGAAATCAAAGGACGCATTGATTTGGAAAAATTACAGTTTATGAAAATGGAAAGTCAAGAAATAAATAAGGATGACGGGGTTTTTGCGATTATTCAGCAGAGAGATGTCCGCACCACAGAGAATCATCTAGAGCTACCAAATCGGGAAATTCAGAAGTTCGACGGAAACCCTAAATTTTATTTTGATTTTGTGAAGCAGTTCCTTTCTGCAATTGAAAGAAAAACTAATGACAGCATTACATGCTCTAGCTCACATGCTCTAGCTCTCAGCTCTAGCAAAATTCTGGAGTCGATTGTGAGACGTCTACCCTCCCAAGTA